TCGCACAGTGATTGCTGGACATGGGCACCAGCGACCCCCGTGACCCAAAATGGAATAAGCGGGTAAAGATAATGGATGGATGGATGGATGGTTGTCTGGCTCTTTTGTCTCTATGTGTCCTTGTGATGGACTGAAGACCTGTCCAGGGTGTCCCCGCCTTTTGCATAATGACTGCTGGATATGGACACCAGTGACCCCCATGACCCAAAAAGGAAGAAGCTGGTAAAGATAATGAATGGATGGTGTAAATGGGTACATGGTGTGTATTACTTTTAGAATGTACTGTAAATACAAAGTAGTGTGATATAATGTTGCCATCTGGTGGTAAATACTCTTCATCATAGTAGTCTGACTCTTCAGCATGGCCACTGTGGTTCAGACCAGCCAGTACAGGTTATTAATGGCAGCCATGATGGCTCCACATCCATCAGTGCATATTACTGCTGCTACTGAAAAAAAAAAAAAAAAAAAAAACTGCTGCTACTGATCAAGACTTAAGACAGTTTTAATATTTTAAATATTAAATTGTGAAGGTCAAATGTAAATGTTTAACTCCCACAGTTGATGTGTTATTGCCCATAGCATAAAACACATTTACGTTTTGAATTTTAATGTGTATATAATATAAAAATAATGAAAACCTTAATTTCAGCTGGTGTAACTGAAAAAAATACTCTGTGTTGAACATCCTTAGTGTATTAAACATCTGAAGTATTTCAGTATTTAAATTTAATGAAAATAAATTTAATTTTTAATGTACCCTTAAATTTTTATTCCTATTGTAATAAAAATACAAAAAAGCACACCTGCAAAACAATATATTAGCCTTTAAAACAAATTGTATATTTTATTTTTTTACTACAATTCCCATGATGCCAAGCCCGCAGACTGAACGTGTACTTCCTGTGCAGGGCCGCTGCTGCGTTTGTAGATTTATAAGTAACCCGGCTAATCTAACTCATTCTCTGAAGGCCCATGGGTACATCCACAGTGTTTTGAGATTTGCTAAAACGCGCTGCCGCTCTTGAACGCACCTTCAGTTTATATTTGGCTTAAAGGAGACGCAACAAAGCACACAAAATGGCTGTGCTCGAGGCCCGAGCGCATAAGTAGGTTTACTATCGCTTTAAGAACGAGAAAATTGTGTCTGCTTCTTTAAAATTATATCGGTTTATTGCTGAATATATAATTAAGAAAAGTTTAAAGTTTCTACTAAATATATATGTGTATTTAATTTGTGACGAAGCCGACAGAAAATGCATCTCTGTCGGATAGGGCCGATTGCAATCAAAACGTCTAAAGCAAATGCGCTGTGTTGTCTTTCACTTTATGTGTAAATCTGCTTGACTTAAAGAGGAATCTGAGGTAGGCTGTAGTGCCCACACGGTGATGGAGCCAGCCGGCCGAGCCGGGGATGTAAATAAAGGTGAAGAGCCGAAGGCCGCAGAGCAGACCCCGGTCCCCAGTTTGACCGGCGCGCCGCGGAGGGCGCTCAGAGAGCGCGGAGCGAGCCGACCTAGGTCCGGCGTCTCCGCTCCTGCAACGGACATTAACGGTGCTGCATCGAGCCCGCAGACGTCGGGACGAGTTCTGAGAGACAGGTCGACACGGGCAGTACCGGCCTGGTTGAAGGACTCTAATAAAAGTGACGAGGACGAACCGAGCCCGGACAGCAACGCGACGAAGCGGAGGAAAGTTTCCAGCTCCAGGCGGAAGAAAAACTCAGATTCTGCGGGTCAGGTGGAAGCTGGAGACGGGGTCGCAGGAGACAGACTTCAAGCCACAGAGTAAGCCTTTTAATTTACAACCTGGACTGATGTGGATGCAGCCCACCAGAACCAAACTCATCATTTGTTTATGTGGGTCGGTTCTTGGCAAAATCACGCCTTCAGCAAGGCTCGTCCCTCTGGGTGGAGTAAACTTACCTGTCTGCAAAGATGCTCACATGGTCATGCAGTGCTTCAGGGTTTAAATCCGTGCTCTTCAATATACACAGTACAAACTGTCAAATAAGAAGTAAAAAGGCCATCTAAATCAAAAGAGTTTACTAAATGCAGATACTCACTCAAAATAAAGGGACGAATCAGACAAGCGAAGTATCTTAAGGATGTTTAGGTGGAAATGTAGCTGCTAAACCTAAAAAGAACAAAATAAAGGTAAGAAAATTGTCAAGAATATATACCAGCACTGGGGATCAAGCATAGCTCACCTGTTGGAAAAACCTTCTGGACCTGTAAGGTTACGTTTCAACTTAACCTCTTTATTTGCACACTTTACTCAACGAATGTGTATCCATACATCTAAATTGTTGGACGTCTTCAGTCACTTTGGTTTCTGTAGAAAGCACAAAGTACAGTCAGTCACAAGGTTTTAATGTAGAGACATGTTAAGCATCACTGTTAATAAAAAAAATTAGCAAACTTAGTTGCTTGAGAGATGCGATGCTGTGATGCTCTGCAGGTAATACACAAAACAAAAGTGAGATCATGTGTTTTTCTTCTTTCTTTAGTTCACAAGACTCTAAGAAACCTTCCACAGATGTTCAAGGTAATCAGTGAGATGATGCACAAGCACCTGTGTAGAACTGAGACCAAACACGTTTTTATGTGCTGATTCAAGCTGGACTGCTCTGTGTGTTGATGTGCATCTTCTCCTTCGCTGCAGCTCTTCCTCCCAAGCGCTCCCCAGCTCAGACTAATGCCAGGCCCACAGCTGGCAGAGCTGCCCGTGGCTCCACCAAACCTGTGTGCAAGACCGAACCTGAGCTGGAGAATCAAACCGGTGAGCTGCTCGTCATCCTCAGAGGGGATGTCGCAGAGGTGGAAGCATGCTGTTGACGTGTTTGGAAAACTTGACAGTGGCTGCTTGATTCGTGCATCTTTATTTGTTGATTTATGGAAAACCACAACTCTGTGTGCCAAATAGTTACAGTTTCACTTGATGTCTCTTTTGAATCGTACAGCAGTGGAGGAGGAGGGAGCTGAGAAAGAAAAGTGTCACGTGTAAGTATATCTTTAAAAAATGACTTGATCATCGCAAGCACTAATGGTTGAACGTGGTGCTGAAGTTGGATTGTTTTTACTACAAAATCTAATTTTTTTGGTAAATTTAAAAAGTAAACTTGTTTCTTTCCTAACGCTGTTAACTTAAAATATAATCTTTAATTATTTAATTAAAAATGTGATGTTGCCTCCAGGTGCTGGTGGGGGAAAATAATCGAGTTTAGTTTGATGAATATTCAAAATATAGAAAATCAGTTGTCATTCCTGGCCTCAAGATGAAACTTACGTCTTTACTGCTGGAAAAGGACTTGTTTGGGAGGAGGTCTGGGAGAAATCCTCTCCTCTGAACAGCTTGTCAGCGCAGCTTAGGATGGCGAAGATGCATCTGAACGTACAAACGTGACTTGAGTATAAGCTATCCTTTCCTGTGAAAATGCAACATGAATGGTTTTTGCTGAAACCAAGCTGAAAATGTTTCATCGCTGAACTGTTCATGTGAGTTGAATTTACGGCTGACATTTACTGAAAGCAGCAGAAATGTAGGATAAACGAGTAGAATGAGATGAAACGGCCAGAGAGAGGCTGAACAGATGACAAAGAAATCTGAAATTGGCAACAAAAAAAAAACTGAAAGGAGGAGGGGAAAAGTAGCTGAAAAGGCTAAAAATGCTGAACTTAGCAGAAAGGCTAAAAGGTGCGTAAAAAGTTTAAATTATTAGAAGCAAAAAAGACTGAAATTAGTGAAAACAATAGTTGAAATGTATCTGGAAAAAGCTGAAAAATAGCAGACGGAAGGTGAGATGAGCTGAAAAACGCTGCCGTTAGCACAAAGAAGCAGAATAATTCTGAAGAACTAAAGCTGAAACGAGCAGTAAAAGGTTTTAAACGGCTCAAAGGATTTGAAGAGAGCTCCGTTCAATTTCAGTGAGAAAAACAAAAACACAAAGCCAATTATTTCTAAAAGTAAAAGTTGCACAAATACCGACACTCACAGCAGGAATGTTCTGAAGGAGCTGAACGTTTTGAGACGTGAATTGTTGAAATGAAACATTTTCAGAACGAGCTGTGTGCTGAAAAACAGAACTGAATGACTCAGAAACATTCAGAGTTAAAACATAAAGCGGTTTGAACGTAACACTCACCGTGTCTGCTGAAAATCCAACTTGTTCCACTCGAAAACGACTCAAAGCAGCCGTGGAGGTGGAAGGATGATGATATGGGCTTGTTTTGCAGCCTTACAGCCGTGAATTCCTCTGGGTATCAAACCATTTCCAGACCTAAACGTGAAGCTGTTTGGCAGCCCGTGTTCAAAACCGGGTCAGGAAAAAGATCCAAACCTGATCCAGATGAGAAATCTGTTGGAACATCAATGTAGATCCTTAAAAGACTAATTCATTTACACAATCACGACTCTGTTTTATATCCTGAGTTATAAGTGTGTGATACATCCTGTTATTGTTTATTTAGGGTTTTAAAATGTTCGCTTGAAGTCCAGATCTGTAACGACACAGTGGTGCACGCACTTGTTGTCCTGTCTCTTGTTACAGGAGTCATGCTTTGATTAGCATTAGCAATAAATGCTACACGACAAGACAGGTTTTATGACATCATCACCTGAATGCAATGATTTGTAAAGAATCTTTCAACTGAGACTGGCTCGAAGACCATATTTAAAAATTACAATAATAAATGTCAGAAGCTTGTTTTGAAGCTGGAGAGTTTTCTGTTTTCAAAAGACTTTTTTATTGTAAATAATTTGTAACGTATGATCACCAACGTTGAAATGATTAAAATTTTGTTCATAAGGTTTTTAAGCAGCGCTGCTGCTTCTACAGATTTAAATCAATTTTCTAGTGCACACACAAAATAAAATAAAAAAAAACCCACTTTGTCAAATAGAACTACTTTCTCTGGGCTGAAACTTACCTTTGCTTTAAGGTAATAAAGATTATTTTTTAATTTTTGAAGTTTCACACCTCCCTTTCACAAGCCAACATTTAACTTCTGCCACACATACACGAGCCCTCGTTTTGACCCCATGAAGAACCGATCATTAAAACTTGCGTTCCCTTATAGTGACAAGAAGGAGGAGGAGGAGGAGGAGAACGAGGAAGATGCTGAGCAGGTCCTGGATGATGAAGACGCTCTGTTTCAGGATGACCCTGATGATCTCAACTATCGGCCTCTGAGCCAGAGGTAGACTGGCGTCGCTTCACGCTCTGCAGAACACGTGAACGCCTGTTTAACGTTTGGATTGTTTTCCAGTGGTGCAGAGGAGGAAGAGGGTCTGAGTAGTGATGAAGATCTTTCTTTTAGAGACGACTTAAATGACCAGAGCTATGACCCGAGGGATGAAAGGTTTGTGTGTGTGTGTGTGTGTGTGTGTGTGTGTGTGTGTGTGTGTGTGTAAAAGATGGAGTTTATCACTTTTTTTCTTATATTAAAAAAAACTAGTCGAACCTGTTTTCTTATTAGATTGGTGTTTTCTCAGGGACGTTCCTAAACCAAAGCGTAGAGCTCCTCCAAGACAGAAGGAAAAGAAGGACAAAGACAAAGCGCCCAAGAAAGAAAAGGAGGCGGCTGAGATCAAGGTGGAAGGCTCAGACAACTTGGAGGACGTGCAGGAAGACGTTAAGCTGGAAGAGGAAATAACCGACGATCCCGATGGACCCAGGAAGTAAGTGTGGTGCCACACGGTCATCGTTCTAGATCTAAACGGTTCTGTCTAACTTTAGTTCCTAAACTTCACTTTGTGATGTGGAAGTCCTGCATCGATCTAAAACGTCACCTTTTTTTTTTTTTTTCTCGTAAGGAGAGGTCGCAGGAAAAAAGACGACAAAACGCCTCGGCTGCCGAAGAGAAGGTGAGGCGAGTCGGGAGTCGTCGTTTCACATCATTTATCTAAAGCTTTGTAGAGTGCTGTGATGGTTTTATGCTCCCAACACATTCACGAGATGGGACATTCACTGAACTGGTTTTGTCACTCGTTCAGGAAGAAACCTCCTGTCCAGTACGTTCGCTGTGAGATGGAAGGATGTGGGACGGTGCTGGCTCATCCTCGCTACCTTCAGGTTGGTCTCAGCGGCCACTCGTTTCCCTCTGGTGGTTTGGGCCTCGGTCACACGTTCCTTATTTTAAAGTGGGACAACGGAGAACCACCTTTAACTGAACGTTTCTGAATCATCCTCTCGGTTCAGATTCGTTTTTCTTCTGTACGTTTTTCTGCACACAACTCGTTCTGCAGTTTCTGTTATTTCAACAATTCACGTTTCAAAACGTTTGGCACATTCAGAACATTCCTGCTGGGACTTTTGGTATTTGTGCATTTTTTACTTTTTGAAATATTTAGCATTGTCGGCCATGTTTTTCTCATTGAAAATGAATGGAGCTCTCTTCACACCCTTCGAGCTGTTTACAACCTTTTACTGATCATTTCAGTTTTTGTTCTGGTTCAGCTTTTTTTTTAGTTCAATTCACTTTTTCAGCCACTTTTTATGTATTTTTCTACTTATTTTAGCCTTTTTTCTTTTACTAATTTCAGCCTTTTGTACTTTGGTCTAATGATTTCACATTTTTATGCGCCTTTCAGCCTCTTCTTGTTAATTTCAGCTTTTTCAGAAAAGAAAAACGGCTTCTTTGAACCTCTTAATCTGAGTTCAGAGGAAAAGAGTGGGTGAAAAATTTGGCACAACTTGGAGGTTAAATAATATCGGGACGAGAGCTCCCTTCTGTTCTCCATGCATGCTCTTTAGTTTTCTGTGTTCTCTTCTTTGATGAAAATGAGGAGGAGTTTCGCTCTAATGTCCTCCTTCAGCCAGTCCTGACAAAGGCAGGAGTGAGCAAAATGTTTTATTGCACTGATGCAATCTCTGCTGTATTCAACAGTAATCTTGTGTTTTTTAAAGATTCAACCTTAAATGAATGTAATCCAAACACCCAATAAATCTGTTCATGTTTATTATTTTCAGACAAATGCCTAATGTCCTAATTTAACAGAAGCCTTTCTAAATTTCAACCAAACGCGTCCGACTCCTGTTCTTTATTTTCACAGCACCATATAAAATATCAGCACTTGCTGAAGAAGAAGTACGTTTGTCCTCACCCTTCCTGTGGGAGGCTGTTCCGCCTGCAGAAACAGCTGCTGCGTCACGCAAAACACCACACAGGTACACACGTTTGATCCCCGATCATTCGGAGTGCTTTGAAGCGGAAACAGTTTAATATCTGTTTTTATTTTTACTTCTAGACCAGAGGGATTACATCTGTGAGTTCTGCGCTCGTGCCTTTAAGAGCTCCCACAATCTGGCCGTGCACCGCATGATCCACACCGGAGAGAAGCCCCTGCAGTCAGTCTTTAAAGGTTTTTGTTTTTCTTGTCTTTATTTTTTCAAAGTTCATTTTTGTTCGTCTTCTGTTGACTGCAGGTGCGAGATCTGCGGCTTCACGTGTCGTCAGAAGGCGTCCCTCAACTGGCACATGAAGAAGCACGACGCTGATGCCACCTATCAGTTCTCCTGCTCCATCTGTGGGAAGAAGTTCGAGAAGAAGGACTGCGTGGTGGCCCACAAGGCCAAGAGCCACCCGGAGGTTCTGATCGCTGAGGCGTTAGCCGCTAACGCTGGTGCCCTGATCACGACGCCCGCCTCCCTGCTGGAGCTCCCAGAAAACCCCGTACAAGCCGAGGTCACCGCCATGGAGGTGAGCCACGGGCAAGAAGGTCACGTGGACCAGCTGGGTCCGGATGGGCAACATGTGAGCCACATGGTCCAACAGGTGAACCCTCAGGTGGTTTTACTGGGACAAGACCAGAGTCTCCATACGATGCAGGTGCCGGTAACTATTGCCCTGTCCCCAATCGACCCCCCTTCTCCAGCGGACAGCCAGCATCACCTCCAGCTCCAGATGCCCATCCAGTTCGTGCAGACCGCCCAACAGGTGCAGCAGCCCCACATCCAGCAGCTGACCCTCCACCCCAGCCCGGTGGTGACCCAGCATCAACCCCAGCTGCAGCCTCTGCAGCCGTACCCCTCCCATCCGCAGAGCCAGACACAAATCCTGCAGATGACCTTCCAGCCGGTCAGCCAGACCCACGTTCGTCAGATCCCCATATTAACCTCCTCCCAGCAGCTTCACACCCTGCAGCCAGCTGCTCCAAGCCCCCCTCTGCTGTCCACCCCCCAGCAGTCCCAGGACCCAGCCTCCACCAACACCGACTGCTTCATCCTGGACAATCCGGTGCTCTCCTCTTCGTCTCCGTCAGGCAGCTCCCTCCAGCAGACGGAGGGGGTCGGTGAGTGCGGGGTGGTCTGGGAGCAGACGGGACAGGGGGGAGTTCTGTCTGAAAGCACTGAGAGACACATGCAGCAGATGATGTAGAACACAGAGCTGTAGATGTATACCTGACACACTGCAGGTACATGTAGGAACCCCAATATAAAATGTACCGTTCACTCAGTGTCACACTTGGTAGCTGTAGAGTCTGTATCAGGGAAACAAGTTTGTTTGTGTTGTTTCTTTGTACATGTTAGTCCTGGAACTAGCTGTTTGAGTGTGTATATTCACAAATGTAGGTTGCAGTTATGCAAATATGTAGCCCACCTCTGAGGAGAACACGGTAAATCACAAGACTCATAATGTGTGGCATCAAATAAGATGCAATAATTTATAAAACTGATTGACATTTTTGAATTACTCAGTATGAGGTGAGATAATTCAGCTTACAGCACTGGACAGCTTTTCTTTTATTGCCTACTTTTCTTAGAGAAATTAAACACATTAATAAAAGATTACGGTTACAAATATAGAGGAAATGTGTCAGTCCCTGGATGAAGGACTAAAATCAAACGTTTGTGGACGATCCAGAAACATTAGTGTTCATGAGTTTGTGTGAAGCAGCTAAAACAATGACAAAAACAACAGAAACCATTTGTCACTAACTTTATAGGTGTTTTTTAAAAGCAAAGCTATGTAGGATGTGATAATCTGTCACGTTAATTTGTTTGAGCACAACCACATCAACCTGTCCGTTTATAATCTGTAAATAAATGACCTAACATTTATCATGTCTGATTAAGAACTTTGATTTTAGCAGAACGGTGAGATTTAATGTTCTCAGTCGGTTTGTTTTTAATGTCTTTGGGAACCAGAATGTAGTCCGTGTGTGTAGGACATGAAGACATAATGTTGAACCGAACCAGCTGCAGATGGAAGTAATGTCTGGTCCAGACCGACCATCGTCAAACAAAATGTCCATCAGGACATGGCGTACTGCTTCAGAGTTCTTTTAGGAGGAATCAAAGTGTTACTCAGTCCCACCCTCCTCTTCTTCGTTTGCTGCTGCTCGGGTTCTTTGTCGCTTGATTCCTGCTGGAGGCTCCGGGGACCTCCACCCGCTGACGGAGCTGATGGCTCTTCACTCACATCTGGATGGGAGTCACTGAGATTACCTGGGGTCTGGAGGTCACTGTCGTGGGCAAACTTGCATTTGATGCCAAACCTGCAGCGGCCATCCTTCCTGTAGGACACACAGACCCTTTTGCCTCCTATCTGGGAGGGTCTGGCCTGCATCGTGAGGGGCACGTGCTTCTGCAGGGCGCTGAGTCTCTGCTCTGCACGAGCCCTGAAAGGGTTGGCGAACACACTGCTGTCAGAGGAGGCGTGCAGAGACGGAGGCGGCAGCCTGTTGGCTGTAGGAGAGCCTACAGAGGGCGCAGAAGATGCCGGAGGAAGCGATGATGAAGGCTCTGGGTCTGAATCGCTTGACGCTGAACCAGACTCCAGTAAGAAGTTGCGAGTCTTTTTAGCAATAGCATCGTCCTCAAGTGAGCTTGAGAAGGAAATAAAATTATCCAGGTTAACTCCGTGCTACTGTGTGACAACTTGTATTTGTGATAAATCGTCTACTCACCAAGTTTTCCCAATGTTTACATCCTCCGCCTCTTCCTCGCTGTCAGAAGACACTCCGTAGCTGACCAGGGAGTTCATGCTGAGGCTAAGCTAGTTAGCTTAGTTAGCTCGGTGTCACTCCAAAAGGGCTGCAGTGACGATCCTTAACAGCGCTTCCGCTAGAGGAACTATAGTTATTTATGATGGTAACGTAACAGCAAAGTATACTCTTAAATGTATTTATCTTCACAGGAAACCTCAGGATGGCTGCTGTTCAGCAGCTTTGCATTTAGATTAAGGTGTTCTGCAGCAGCGCCCCCTGCAGGCCAGGCGTGGAACTGCAGCTTCCCGCTTTGAACGTTTCTTTGATTTATTGGTTTAAAATTTTGTTTATTTTTTTTAGGTGGGGAGCATAGCGTAAAAAAAAACCCCAGTAATCTCATTTATTTAGTTTTTATCTAATACATATTTTGAATAAAGAAGTTCCATAGTGAATTTAAATTCAATCCATTTTATTTATTTATCCAGTTTAGAACCACTAGACTGAGGAACAGCTTCTACCCTGAAGCTGTTAGACTCAAATCTCAATCAGGATTATCAGTGTGAGGGAAAATCCTTGTAATGCCACTTTGATTAATGATATGGGCTGCGGATTATCCATGCTGCTGATCTCATGCTGCTGATTATTTCATGCTGCTGTATTCATTAGTACTCATCTCACACAGACTCGTTCGTGCTGCTGTTGTTCGGCGTATTGTTTCTTTTTATTGTATTCTTAGTTTAGCGTATTTCTTAGTTTACATCTTAGATCCTTAATACTGTTTCTTTTACAATTTATATTCTTCCTGTTGTTGGATGTAACTGGGACCCTGTGTACACAATTTTGTTCCACCTCGTGTACCACATGCGACGTGAATGACAATAAAGAACCTTGAATTCTTATATAGTGCCAAAACACAACAGAAGTTATCTCAGGGTACTGTAAAGAAACCTCCACATAGGCCTACATTATAAATACCAGTTGCTAAAGTTATCTATCTAAGGAAGAAAGGAAGCAGCAGATTGTGTTGAGTCTTCATTTCATCGCAGTCTCTCATCTTGAACAAGCGCAAAGGCAACAGTGGAAAGAAAAAACTCCCTCATAACAGGAAGAAACCTCCAGCAGAACCAGACTCGGGACAAGCGGCCATCTGCTTCGACCGGCTGGGTTTGAGAAGAACAGGAAGGAGAAACAGACACAGAATGTCAGGTCCAGAATGGAGGTGAGCAGGTCCCTTCAGAGGAAAGGAAAAATAAAAAAACACATTAAACAATTACAAATGCAAGCTATTCAATTGATGAAATTAGGCCAATTTGTCATCTAAGCCTATAGCAGCATAACTAAGGGATAGGTCAGGAAACCCAAGCCAACCCTATAGGATTTATCCAAAGGCAAGTCTTAATCCCAGTCTTAAAACTGGACAATGTGTCAGCCTCACGGACAGAAACTGGAAGTTGGTTCCACAAGAGAGGAGCCTGATAACTGAAAGATCTTCCTCTCATTCTGCTTTTGGAAACTCTAGGAACAACAAGTAAACCTGCAGTCTGAGAGTGAAGTGTTCAGTTGGTAAAATACCCAAGTCAAGTTTATTGTCATTGTCATCATATGTGGTACATGAGGTGGAACAAAATTATGTACTCAAGGTCCCAGTTACATCCAACAACAGCAAAAAAAGTATAAAAAGAAACAATATATAAGGATCTAAGATATAAACTAAAATATATGCTAAACGAAAGGCAAATGGTATGCTAAAAAAACTAAGATATACGCTAAACACTAATAATGTAAAACAATACAGCGTATCAACAGCAGACTGAACATGAGTCTGTAGTGAGCAGATGGGTATGAATGAATGCAGCAGCATGAGATAATCAGCAGCACAGATAAAGTGATATCACCAATTAAAGTGTCATTACAGTGATTTTCCTGGTTAGAGATTCATGAGTCTAACAGCCTCAGGGTAGAAGCTGTTCCTCAGTCTAGTGGTTCTACACTTAATGCTCCTCAACCTCCTTCCTGAGGGGAGCGGGGCAAAAAGTATAGACACAAAATAACGCAAATAGAAACAAATGACAAGTAAGGATACTGTACATTAAATTAAAAATGTATCATTTTAATTGTCACCTTGTCATAACTGTAGTTCACATTAAAGTCAATTTCCATGAAGCTGATGTACAAATGAAGTTAGATATTTTAACGTCCGATTGTTTAAAGCTCAGAACATGTTCTCGGTTTTTAGTGATACTGATTTTTTTTAAACGGGAAAGCAATAGTAATCAGTCACAGATGGTTAAATTCAGACAACAAAATGAAAAACGAGGATTGCTTCTCTAACGTGGAAGGAACTGGAATTAAAAGGTTCAGAGGTAACTTTCAGCACGAGTGAATTTCCAGTTAATAAAAGATACCAAAAAGGAAATTACTTGGAGGAGTAGACAATATGTGATAATACTTTTATGTAGTTTGTGTGCTTTTTGTTTCAGGACATCCTGTACAATAAAACATTTAGATGAACTTTGGCATGAAGGCACGGATCTGTTGAGCAATAATGATCTAGTAGGACGCACACAGTTTTTAATGAGCTGAAGTATAATTTTTTATAAGTGTGGGAGGATTTACAGACCTTGAATTGCTCAAGCATCTGTTTAGATAAAAACACTTTAATATAGCTGCTGTTGCTGAATGAGACCCTGATGGATCAACCTGTAGAAAAGGGAGAGTTTCAGCAGCTTCCGTTCTCCGTCACGTCTTTTCACAACAACTGGACTCTAATGTGACAAGTGCAGCACTTCCAAACCCATTTTTATCATCCTTAATTCTAAATAAAGCAGGTATTTTGTAATATCGCTCCTCTCTCTCTCTCTTAAGGTGTCTGCAATGTCTGGCAGGTTTGTATGTAATTGCTCTTTTGGCTGAGAGCATTGTAAAAATGGCAGAATGTAACAGAACTGAACTGAAGGTGGCACATCTGAATTTAATGACATCAGCGAGCACTGTGGAAATGAAATCCACACGAACACACCGCTGTGTAAAAAACAGCCTTTATGAAGGTACAGAGGTAAGACGACGTGCTTTAAGGGTACGCCTGCATTTTGCCATTTGTTTCAAAACGACAGCATCAACCACTGCACCACTGGATCAACAAAACTGCTGAAGGACAAAGAGGGGGTTGTTGATCTGGTCTGCCTGCCACGAGTCCTCTCATTGAATATATGTTCTGCTTTTCCTCCCACAGACCAAAAACATGCATGTTAGGCTGACTGGTAACTCTAAACTCTCTCTAGGTGTGAGGGTGAATGGTTGGTTGTCTCATTTGTCTCTGTTTCCCTGTAATGGACTGGAGACTTGTCTAGAGTGTCCCCCGCCTCTTGCACAGTGATGGCTGGACATGGGCACCAGTGACCCCCATGACCCGAAAAGGAGGGTAAAGATAAAGGATGGATGGATCTAAAAATAGGACAAATTGAAAGAATGGAGTCATTATAGAGACAACAGTTTAACTTCTAACATTCAGTTTTGTTAGTGTTTCCAGGAAATGTCCTATACAT